CTCCCAAGTTCCCTTATTTTCTTATTGTAATCCCAGTTTCACATAGTATCAATTGATGAGGCTTTATCTCAAGGGAATTGAATTGGCCTGTTACAGTTTGGAAGAAGGATGAGAAGGAAGGAATAAAGAGGAGACAGACACAACTAAAAAGGAAAGGAGAGAAAACGGGGCAAGTTGTCATGTAGCATATAAAGGGGGGAAATCTGCCACGTGGTTGTTTTATCAATTTAAACCCTCTTTCCAATTTTAAAAAAAGCATACATTGTGAGCCACAATTTCAACACCATCTGAGTTTTTCTGACTAGCACACCTACAGATTGGTAATATAAAATGGGAAACAGTGAGAGCAGAGGCCATTATCTTAATACACAAAGCAGGTAAAAGGGAAAGAGTGTGTTGAGGTGAATGAACAATAGTGATTGAATATGTTCATTTGACAGTGAAGTGGAAGCAAATGCCTCTCATTCTTGTAACTACATTCTGACTATCAGCAGTAACTAACACTTGACTGAGACTTACTATTCTCACCAACAATACAGTATTATACACTTAGAAAATGTACTCAAGTATTTAAGCACATTCTGAAGTAATTACGTAATTCAAAATAAAAACAACCTGAAAAACATGGCACATTGACAGAAATAATGTAAAATAAGTTTCTAAATATTTAAACTATAAAGTTGTCTTCAAAATGCCTAAAAGAAAAACTAATTTGCCTAGATTCACTTATATACACAGTGGTCATCTCACCAGCAGTATCTGCAAGCTAAAGTATCTGAATCTTTTAAGGTCCCTTCAAAGAAAAACCTCAAATGAGGAACATTTATATATTCTTTTCTAATAACCAAACCTGAAACATAATACTGTACAAATAGGAACCAACACAGCCTTAAGCCTCGCATTCAAACTTTTAAGAACCAAAAGTATACACCATGAAATTAAATTTTTTTAAAGCAATCAGAACATGGAAAACCAGTATCCAATTGCATTCGTTATATTTTCCTTCCATAAGTCGAACTAAATTCTTATATGAGGAGTTTGTCCAATAAAAACAGGTAGCAGTTCTTTCTTGGCTAAAATTGGATATCAATACTGAATTTGTTTTCAATAAAAGAACACCGAATTTACTTCAGTAAGATTAACATATATATATAGAGTCCTGGCATGGCGATGTAGGAAAAGCACTGGACTGCTAACCTCAAGGTCAGCGGTTCAAACACACACACGTAAAATCTTTAAACTCAAACCCTACCTGTATGTATTTCTAGGGTTGGCAAATTCTAAGAAATCTATTCCCCTTTCTCTGAACTGCTATATTCATCACAGGCAGGTTAACATACTGAATGGGTGGTGAACCTCATCAGTCCAATTTTATTCCTAACGCTGAGCAAAATTTTCTCTTCAATTAATCTTTTTAACTTTGAGAAGAAAATAAATGTTAAGAGTTCAGGTGAATAAATGAATAACAAATAAGGGCAGGGAAAGTATCTGGCATAAACATAGTAGGTGGGCAGTAATTTTTTTTTTTTTTTTTGATGAGTGATCCAGTTCTAATATTAACATATACTAGATTAAAAATTATTTTTAAAATGTAAACTCATTGAAGGCTAGAACCTATTCATCTCATTTTAATCCCATAGTGATCAGTTGAGTTTTGCATATAACAATACATCTTGTGGAAGAGGCTCCATTACTAGACTGCTGTAATATGTGGCTGGCCAAAGGGATAATGACTAAACGTACTGCTACATTCTGATTATTTTAATTATATAATGATTCAATCTTTAATCCAATTTTCCTAATGTTATGAAGTTTTGTTTTTTCTTTTAAAAAGCAAAACCTTCATTCAATTCACAATAGAAAATTAAAAAATAAAAAAGTATCTGGAACAGTTGTAACTGCATAGTACTCTAGAAACAAGTTAATGCACTAGAACTAAAAACAAGCCTGAAATGGGTTTAATGCAAAATAGGAAAAATACTATTTTGATTTGAAAAAAATTAAGTTAATATTGAGAACGACTTTGTTATTTGTCAAAATACACTACCCAAGAGAGTGTATGTTACATCTTATCTTGCTAAAACAATAAGAGATAAATCAGTAAAAAATTTTAATGTTAGGGTAAACAAGAACCTGCTATACAAAATGGAATTTCCTTTTAAAGCAGCAAATTAGATTCATCCTATTAAAACACTGAAATCAAGGTACATTTTAATACTATATTATCACTACACAAGAACTTTTTCCCTCCAAAGAAACTAACAGAACACATAAAAATTTTTGAGGCATTGCCCTGAGATGCTAATTAGCACAAAAAAGGACGGAATGGGGTCAAGAATATAAGTGGTATAAAAATGAAGTGCACAATAAAGGTGCAAAGGTGCCTTTTAAAAAGTGGGGGTAGCTACCCCCACCAACGCCCCCACACCAGGAATGCACACTTTGCAGTTAAACTGTATATATCCTTCCTGTATTACTATAATGAAACACTATCTAGTACAGCAGTGCTGACATGCCGTAATGACTTAAGTCTTCGTAGATCACTTTAGTTTTCTCTTACTTCCAAGTCTAACTTTACTACTAATAATTTTAATAAGGAGCCTTGGTGTGGTGCTGTAGGCTATGTACTGGACTGCTAACCACAGGGTCAGTGGTTCACACCCACTCTTTGGAAACCCTATACAGGGTTACTATGAGTCGGCATTTAACAATTTTAACAGAGGAATATTTAAATCGCTTTCTTGTTCATCTAAAGATTTTCAAATTTAAAAAGGTTATAAACATGTTATGGTTTGAAATATATCCATCACACATCTTACTTGTGATTTAAAGTTCCGCATCTCAAAAGATTCCACAGTCTAGTTCAAGGTTTTGAAATTTCTAGAACTGAAAACTTAAGTCTATCTGAAAAATTTACAAACTGGTTTGTTGTAATAGGGAATTTAACTATTAGTATGTTTGGAAATTAATCTACACTAGAAGCACTGATTTTCACTAAATGCATTTTGATGCTTGCAAAGCCCTAACTTAGAACATTATCATACTTTGCACTCTACCACAGATTTAATCATTAAGCATTTATTTGTAAGTTAAGTACTTGGTTCTTTAATTCCAACTGTTATAATTTTCTAAATATAAATAGTAGTTCAATTTTTTTCAGTCATGCTGGATTAAAATATAAATTAAATACAATTAAGTTACATGTAACCACCTCACAAATAAGAGGGATAATAAAAAAAGATTTTGCTGGTTTATAACTACTTAAATGTGAGACATTTCACATTACTTCCCTACTACTCCCCTAACTTTTAAGGCTATATATACAAATATGTATATTTTCAAGTTAGGGAAAAACAAGTATAACAAAATGAATTATACTACCTTTTATACACAAAGTTTTGATTTTGTATTCGATGTTGTATTTTAATCTTATACTGCAATAGTTTTCTGGTGGGAAATCTGCCTACTGAATGATTAAATTACACGGTGATAAATACAACAGTCAACCTAAAGAGACAAAGGGCACAGAACAGTATTTTCAATGTGACAGATATAAAAAACTTACTTTTCACATGCTTAATCTGAAGAATTTAAGCCTAAATTAAATTATCTACAATTCCTTAAATTTTGAAAGATATTTTTAAAGACCAACAACTAAATATTATCAACATGCTATATTTCAAATCACAAATACATCTTAACCACTGTAGTCTACAGGTATGGACCAATTCAAAATCACAGGCAAACACACACTCACAAACACAAACATACCTACTATGGAGTGTTATTATTGTCAAGCTTTGACAATTATTTTAATTAAGCAGTAGGCAAGTTCAACTGATGCACGCTTCCATGAAAAATAAGCAGTCATAATGAAACAACAGACGTAAATCTTACAGGTTTTCTAAGAAGGGAAACAGTTCTATCTATGCCTTGAGTAACATTATTGTCCATTTAGTAGAGATGAACATCTTTCCCCATAAGAAGCTTCTGTTACAATGATCAGGCGTTTTAAAAGGCTGGGATAAAAGAGGAATTACACATACATGATTAAATTTCTTGTTTGTTAAATCAAGCTTTATTGATAAAATGGAATTCAGAATATCTTACTAGGAACAGCAGCAGGTTCAGCCAATCATGATAGCAAAAATGTGGCAGTCTCCTACCATATGAAGGAAGCTGCTGCTTATCAATTAGTAAGTAATTTAATGTAAGGACTTGTAAAAGAGGTGCAAATAATCAAGGCATTCTAGCCCCAAGATTGATATTAAGAATATACTGTATTACCTTCAATACTCATGGCAACAAGGAGAGAGCATCCTCAAAGACAGTTAAATGCAGGGACTGGCTTTATCAAACAGTGCCAATCCTACCTCCAAGAACATTAAGATCGTTTTCCAGAACTCCCTGCATGCTCAGCTTTGTGAAGATTTTGAAATTATTCTCCAAAATCGCATGCACGTTTAGGTGTCTAGCTAGCTGATATGGCTGCTGTTCTCCCTGTCCCAACCCCAAGTCCAAAACACAACATGACTTCAAAGGGCTATATGTCTGTTGCATCACACAACAAGCCAAAAATTTCTTGTAACTCTGATAGTGATTTAAAGCAGTTCATAATTAAATATGAGCATTTTGTACAAGGACAATTACACTTTACAAAAGACAAAATCATACAACAAAAATTGCTGGAGTCTGATTTACAACATGAATTATGGTTTGAAATCACGTTTACGTAAGTCTCAAATTTA